ATTTATCAAAAAAAATCACGTCTACTTAACTGGACGTCGATTCTAAAATATAACTTTTGTTAGCACAGACCGCCGTCCACTAAATTGGACAGTGCCCAAAACTCAAAGTTGACATTAAAATTGAATTTTCTGATCAAAAAAACATTGGTAGCAAGTGTTTTTATTTTTCTATCCAACCAAAAAAGCTGCAGTCCAGAATGAAAAACTAAAAAACTTTCGCATGACTCGGGGAAAATCTCAAAGCGGATTAATAAACAACAAGTACAGCAGTATGTTATTTCTACACGATATTCCTAAAATACATATAAAATTTGAGACCTTATTTTTTGTAGATGAAAGTAGCCAGTCACCTTATGGACTCAAGACTCGATTACAATTCTTTAGCTTAGGCTCGGGAAGTAAAAAAGAGTACGATAAGGGTGTATACTCTCAGATCCCCTATGTTATTCAATGCATATTTAGAATTCCTATTCCAAGAGCCCTTGAGAGAGACGGATGACGAAATAAGTATTAACGGCGAGGCACTAGATAATGTAAGGTACGCTGGAGGACTACAAAGGGTTATTGATAGAGTGGTTAATGCAAGCGAGAGCTATGAAATGGGACTGAACAGTAAGAACAACACATTATGATTATAGGCAAAACATCGATACTCAATTTAAAGCCTGTAATGAAATGCCGAAAAGAACAAATACAACGGTAACACATGAGATCAAATGTAGAACTTAAAAAGTAATAAGAGCTTTTAATCAACTGAAAGAAGTATTATGTAACTATAAACGAACACAACGTACTGTTTTACTTACTATAATAACTCTAATAATAATATTAATTTTATTCATGACTATGATTACATAATAATTGTTCATACAGCAATAAAGAAACGGAAAATGAAGGCATAAATTACATTAGCAATCAACAAAGCTGAAATTTTACAAATTCTTATAATTTACAGATAGACTCACCGGCATGAAAAACAGGCCAGTTAATATTTTTCTGAGTAGAGTGCTTCGACGTTTTCACTACTACTATTTTTGATGTTCATATTAATTGAGTCTACATGCACCCCACACTTTAAACGAGCTTCAGAATATGCTTTTAAAGGAATAAGAGAAGAAATAAACAGTTTACTTCATGGGATGCTCTGGAGAATGGCACCAGTGTTACAGGTTGGTGGCGGAAATACCCGTTATTGACGTCCTTAAACAATGTATAATGATCATTGATTTTGCTTTTTTGGAAACTTTAATTTTTTTTTTCAGCTTTGTTTGATTATTGAATTTTTTTTCATTTTCTATTAAAATAATATATTTTTTAGTTCTTTTTGCATAAAAATAATAACAACTTCAAAGTATTGCAACCGACATTGTACTTTATTTTGCACATTTTCGGATCCTTAAAAAAAAATAAGGGTGGCCCATTTTTCGTGACAGTGAGTGTACTTATGTTATAATTTACAGGTACAGTATCTGAGTGGAAGTTATACAGTTGATGATAAAAAAATGTTTCATTTCTTTATCATATTCAATACGATCTTTAAGATCGTATCCAAGTAAGCTTTTATGTCTTGTATCCTGTTCAAGCCTTCTAGTTACAATTGTAACTGTAGAAATATGGTTAAAACAAAATTTTCGTAAAACAGGTTTATTTACGTCGCATCGGTGTCTCGAGTATTCTTGGAACCTCTTAATCTGATTTTATTGTTATCACATCTATGCCATATTAAACGAAGTCATTTTCATTTCCGGTGAAAACAAAAGTGCTAGTAGTAAATTTTGCAGTGTTCAAGAAGTCTTCACTCCATACATTCTCGTGGTCTATGGTCACATTTATGTTTTGCATGGTCAATGGTTTTGAAATTATTTTGAGGGATCTCTATCTGTATGATTCCTTCGACTTTCAGTGAATTTTATTAGATAACAACTTAAATACACATATGTATTTACTATGGTTGTCCCATATTTACAGTGTACATGTAGATCAAATTGAAAGAATCCGAAGACAGTTCTAAAATTTCTTGCATTTATGTTACATAATAGACATCTTACTTGTGCATTTTATTATATGAATCATATAAATAGATCTTATGTTAGTCATGTCAATCCTAAGCAGACTACATGACCTTCAATGTTGATTCCAGGTTTGTATATCCAAAATTAATCTTCATATACCCAGGTCAACCACAGCAAATAATCAGATGTTTTATCTAAATAGTACACGAACGTAATACTTTAAAAAAATCTCCAATCTCTAATAATTTGTAGCAACATTAACAAATATCGTCGGGATCTAGGTTTCATTTTCTACAACCATAACTATCTTCTCGGATACTAAAGTAGGGTTGTGTAACCTGCAAGAAAATAAATAAAAATGATTATTACTGTTATTATCATTGACATTATACAGAATGTCCCCGTAAGATTTTATTTATTGTGAACCACAGAACCTTTGCTGTAGTCCAAGCAATAGTACCCATTTAGAGCTACAACTTACTTATTTTTAAATATACAATAATATATTTAGATTATTTGTGAAAAAATAAAAAAAAATATTGATACAAGGGTTTTTGGTAATAAAGAGTTTTCAAAACATTTGTGCTTTGATTGAAGAAAAAAAATCACATTTAAAATTGTACAACTCCACCATTATTAATAGAGGTATGAAATTTTGTACAAAATTTTTAGTTATCATTTTTCGCATGTTTTTCATGAGATATCTTGCATCTGATTACATTTTCGAACTTGTATCTAAATAAGATTTATTTTGATACCGGTTTCTCGGGATTTATCTTAACAATAGTTCCGGAAAGCTTTGAAAAAACTTCAAAAAATTTTATACAAGCTTTATCTTTTTACGTAAAATTACAAATGTACTGAAAACTGTTGACAAAAAACCTCTCATATTATTTTTGTCCTTAATAAGGAACCCAAACCCGTAAAAATTATGCAATTATGATACGTAACGTAAATGTTACAGTTCGAGTTAAGCGTAATAAAATTCTGAATGCCCTCGTTAAAGGATATAGTATTTTCAAAAAACTAAACTGCAGTGTAAAAAAAAATCGTTAAATTTGTTTATTATTGTTTCACTTTCCGAGATTATCTGAGTTTCAATCTCTTAACAATATCTAGTTACCAAGAATGTTAAAAAAAATACGTGAACGGACCTAATTAATCGTTGAATCAAAATTTAGTAATCTGCTTTCACCTGCTAACACCATATTGTTATAATTCCTATAAATATTAATGAAAATGACGCTAGTGGTTGACTTTAACGGCCAAAACTATTTCTTGTACCCCTTTTACGATACCCTGTACATGTAAGTATTATTTACTTAAACAAGTTTCTGATTTTAGAATACGGCTCAGATCATTCACCGGGCCACCAAACTTGTCGGTGTACATATTTTTATTGAGGTTTGTGGTCAGACATGCTGTGAAGGGCTGTGGAAGCATATTGCAAATCATGTTGACTTATTTCGTCACAGTATGCGTATCAAAATTATTATACAGGAAAGGAAAGTTCTATTCTTAAAAAACGGCAGTTGATTGTTCGTTTACGACTACATATTTAAAAATATTGTATTTGTAGTAAGTTGCTATTTTCGTTTATCATTATTATCAGTCCCTAAATTTCATCCTTCGTCAAAATATTTGTTGATGTTTGTTTTGTGTTAATAAATATTTATATATTTTACAATTTTCTACTCAAACAGAAATTTTCTCACTTATTCTTCAACTATTAAGTATCGAATACAATACGCATGTCCAGTAAACTTAGATAATATTTGGAGTAAATATTACCATTTTTATTATTAATATCCTGAAATTATACATATTATTATTCTTAAATAAACTTTGGAATTTTTTGTTAAATTAAAAATACACATATTAATAGAAAATACTACAAACGGATAATAGTTTGATCTAAAGAAAGATTTTTTATGAATGTTTAATTGGCACTTGAACTGGGTTACACCCACTGCCTCGTCTTTATTTAATAGATCTGATACACTTCAGCTTGTAAACAGGTCTCGTAACAAAGGCAGCAGAACACTGTGACTCATAATTAAGTAATTGCCTATATGAAATTATAGAGTAATTTTATCGATGTCATCTGTGCAATTTCTCTGTGATATATTATTGAAACTTTTGCACGTGAACCTCGTTTTACCGACAGACAACAGCCGCTATTGATCGAAAAAATCTCGTTACCCCCATGATACTTTTAAAGAACGAATGTCAAACGTTGGAGTTTACGTGCGGAATTAAAATAATTGCACGCTAAATTAAAGGTGCTCCATTTAGCTACTACTATTGATCACTAATATGTTATTTGTGCATTTATATATTCATTTTCACTTAATCGGTCAAGAATGGTTGTATGTAGGTGTAACATAATTGTATTATTCATTATTAAGAACATATATGTAATAATAGACTGTTCAAATAATAATATTGTTATATGCTTAAAATACTTATGACAAACAAGAGAATAATGGGGGTATTTGAATACTCGATTTGTTTTGCTTTTTGGAACTATTAAAAAAAATTAAGAATTGAAAAACCACCTAATTATGCATTTATTCTTACCACTCACCCATTTTTAAAGTATTTCAAACTTAGTAGTTTCGAAAGGAAAAAAGAAAACCGCTTCGTTTCCAAAAGCTTGCAGCACACATTGACTTTAACCATTGTCTGTAAAATCATGATCACGATTACCTATACAGTTACTAAGTATTGCCACATCCTTCGGTGTTTTAAATTCTTCCTGAAATGTGGCACCGGTTGGGAAAAACAGTTTGATCAATTGATAGCGGAAGCAATCTTTACTAGGAATACGTAGTAATGTTGCAAAACAATGATAAAGGTGGCACTAAAACTACCATGATAGTACAGAGAAAGTATATAATCAGATATCCCTGAACAGGACAATCCGTTTATTGCAAGACTTCTAGTGGGGGTTTGTTATGGATTACTATAAAGATATCGACAAAGCGTAACATTCCAGTCGCTAATCGCACCCTGTTGTTTCTTCTGTTTCTACTGTAGTTGAACACCATGAGAATTTTGGTAAGTAAGCTGAATTTTTTATAGCGTAGTTTTACGTTTATTGATAGGTTAAAATGTTAGACTTTGTTTTGATTTTTGGTACGCTTAGTTTTAATGTTGCTGCCTTACTACTTGAATTTTTCTAACAGTAACCTTACATTTTAGACATGTGATATATATTTAATTAAATACAAATTCACTTATCCGCTGACAGTTTAGATCTAATTAAATTTAACAAATGCAGCTTACTGCAAGCATAAAATATCCTTTTATAGTCGATAAGGAAATTCTCGCATTCCATCCTGAAGTTACTTATACGTATTCGACCTAGATGGCTGACACACTTTATAAGTACCAAATAGAGCCTTTTATGACATTAATCTAATCACGTCATTACGTAAGTTCTAGTGCAAGGTGTTTTACTATGTGTACAACCGTCTGCATTATGAAACACTTTCACTCATTCAGATCTCTCAGACGCGGCATCCATACAAGTCTAGTCCTTTGAAGGTGACCACTCTCACCAAAACATGAATGCATCGTAATGAAACTTTTAAATTCCTTTCCTGTTTTCGTCATCAACATGTTTCAGAAAACTTATCATTCCAAACGGATGTAAAACTGAATTCAAACTAATCGTGTCCTTGCGAAAGCTTGTGACAGTTGAAAGGAATAGAGACCACGTTGCAAATCACGCATTTTTCCATCCAACGCATAAATTATCCTCTCTTTCAGATCTGCGTCTGCCTTATCTTAGGCGCCACATGCGCCGAAAAAGCAGCCCTAGCGAAGAAAGCCGTGGGTAAAAGAGGAGTTTTGGGACTGGGAATCGCTGATGGAATCATTGATGGCGGCTTAGGTCTCGGAGGCGTGGGTCTTGGTGGTACCGCTGTGGGACTTGGTGGTACCGTTGTGGGACTTGGTGGCGCCGCTGTAGGTCTCGGTGGTGCGGCCTTGGCCGTGGCCCCCGGCACCATTGATCTTGGGTCGTCTTCTCACACACATACAACCATCACCAGGAATTTGGGAGTACCTGTACCTGTTCCTCATCCCGTTCCTGTTGACAGACCAGTACCAATTCCTTATGGAGTTCCTGTGGGAGTAGCCGTGGATCGTCCCGTTCCCGTGGCTGTTCCCAGACCTGTTCCTGTTACGGTCGAAAGAACTGTCGCCGTTCCCGTCGATCGTCCAGTTCCTGTAGCTGTCCCGCATCCTGTGGGTGTGGCCGTCCCAAATCCAGTTGGAGTTCCGGTACCTGCACCGTATCCAGTACCGGTAGCCAGTCCTGTGGCGGTTCCTGTGGCCCACCCTGTACCAGTAGCTGTCGCTAAACCCGTTCTGGTGGGCAAGCATATCTGGTGATTTCTCTACAGAAGATTAGATTAAGTACAAAATGTAGATAAATGATTTATTTTTGTAAATATCTATCGCGTTTTTAAATAAAAATTCGAAGCCAGGTCATATATTTTCATTTATTTACCTTTAATATTGGCAAGGAAAGAAATATGTACTTCCGTAAATCAGTATAGTGGTATATAACTGATTAATTTATCTCATCTTAAAAAATGATTGTCAGTCAATTAGGTGTATGGTTATCCAGTCGATTGTTCTATAAACTTCTGTAATAATAAATGAAACCTTTAGATTACCAACATTGCAGTAGTGAGTGTTTGTGTATACTATCTATGAATGGTAATCGAACAAGCAATGATAATAAATTATAGAGTATTTAATAGTAAAACGAGATATTGCTGTAGATTTGATCTATCAAATTTGCCAGATTTATTTCTGTTTGTAAGTAGACAGTGTAAGACAACTTTATGTTTACCTATATTATAAATTAATTTTTAAAAATAGCATCAAAATTAGTTTCGTGTTTGTTATGCTTGTTCATGAAATTTAAAATTTTATCGCAGTAAAAGATTTCTTTTTATCTAGAAGAGTCCACACAAGCTAGTGTTTTTCAATTACAGCAACTCAGTAAATTTTGATGTGGGACCTCAAGTTTTTGTTTAAAATAATTGTCCAAAATTACATTCAACATTATTAAAAAAATTAACATTTTTCTTTCTACTTCATCGTTCAGATGATTATTTTATTTATTTCTAACTAAGAAAAATTACATATATGTTATCAATATAACTTCAGTTGTTGTAATTAATATACAGGGTGGTTAATAAATGATTTATATCTAATGGGCTATGAAATTCATTTTTTAATGAGCCGCTTAGCTCTTGGAGTTGTCAAACTTTGAATCAAATTTTAACATATTTATTTCTTTAATTCACAAAGGATACGGAAAAATGTGGACTCTAGATGAAGATAAATTTATTATCGAAGTCTATTTTCCATCTGGCCAAAAGATTGATGAAGAACGGCAATATTTTCCATAAATAATTTGGAACGAAAAAGTCAATCAAATATTTGTTCGGGTGTTTTACGCATTCTTGTACAGTGACATTTATGAATCAATAAACAGTATATTAATTATTTTCTATTGTCTTTTTTTTGAGTAAAGATGAAATTATGGATTTTTTAAAACACCATTGAAGTGAAAGAAAATATTTATTTACTTAATTTTGTATATTAAAAAACAATAGAAATGAAAAATCCGAAAATTACACACGATAAAATTGAAATTTTTCAAATGCCATAATTTTTGGAAACGCTGTATAAAAGGAAATAAAAAATAAATAACACTTTGACACAACTCTTTTCTACCTGGTTGCTAACTGAATTTGTTTTACATAGCATCATTTTAAAAGGTGAAATTGAACTCGAAATATTATCGATAAAATGTTAAAGAAATCCACAAGAAGTGGTTTAAATTTCATTTGATTGAACTAGTGGTCCTAAAAGCGAATTATAAATTTTAATTGCATAAAAACGGCGTGAAATACCTTAGATGAGTTTTAACCGATAAAGCTACTTGGATGCTATTTTAATATTAGATAGTTTGTTACATAAAATACTAAACACATTGTCTCGTGTATGATTAACGGGTTGCCTAGAGTTCAACACTAGGCTTTGAATATTTCATCACGTCATGTCGAACGTATAATTTCACATATTGAGTTACAGTTGCCAATGATCTTCAAAGATTTATTTGTATTCGGCTTACGAAAACTTTTTGGTATTAAAACATCAGGTTTCTCCCAAGATGAAAAACCTGTTCTAAACTTATTTAGAGAAAACTTCCCTCGTCCCTACAGCGCAGTCAAATAAATCCAGTTTCTTACATAAATTATGAAAGGTGATTCTGTTAATTGACTTTTTTGCATGCTTCAAGTGTTGTTTTTTCTTTAATACAATTTTCTCGTGACGTCAACAACTTTTTAATAAGGACAAATTTATCAGTACGGATATATAGGTTCACTGTGTGTAAAATTATTGGCAGAATTTCAGGAAACGAAAATTATCTTTTATCATTTTACCGATAAAAGAAATCGTTTTATTCATAATTTGACGCATAAGCAAGTCAAAAAAATATACACCCATAATACTTTAAATGCTGTCGTCCAGTTTTTGGATATGCTTTACCAGCTTTAACCTTAAATCGATTACAAGATTTCGGAACAGTTTGTTTAGGTAGTAATTTCTGGGTTAAATTCTAAAATGTAAATTTTGCATTTTTTTATGAGTAAACCACTGATAGAATCAAAAATTTCACAACTATCAGTCCAGTAGCTTACGAAATTCTCTGTCTAATAAAATCGTCTGCAGACGACGGATGACGGACGAGGGACGACTGAGGATGACATGGACTGTCAAAATCACATTACTGTGTCGTAAATAATGACTATTTTACTTGGGATTTTCCTGAAGGTTTGCAAGTCTATGGGGTATGAAACTTCGAACTTCTTTAGGATCCGAAGAAATGATGTGGTGGCACTGAGCTAGCTGTAATGCAACAAATTTCCTAAAGAAGTAATATTAACTTCACTGTTTCCTGTGCCGTCAAATAGAGAGCACTGTTGCTTATTTTTGGTACTCACTGTATCCTGTATCAGTAATGACCCCCGAAAAATGAGAAAACTTAATATCACTTTTAACAAATGTAAAGTCTATACTTGTGACCTCTTGGAGAAGCTTGTTGATTTCGATTGACGACTTCATTACCTTGGTACTTGATTGATTTTTTCTTACACACAATATTAATTCAGAAACTTGTTAATATTAATATTTTTTTTCCTATTCATAACACATGTAAACATGTATAAAATAACAACTTGAAAATTTATAACCTTAACCTTTCTGCAAAATAAATTATAGGGTTACTTTCGTAACGTTCTCTGAATTAAAACCCGACTTATTGAAATATTTTTCCTCCGGCCTAACATATCCTAAAACAAAAATAACAATAAATTAGATCATTTTAATAATCGGATACCTACGAACCAATTTCGACTACATTATTACTTGTCAAGCATAAGCTAAGGAAGTATTGTAATGGGGTCCATGACCCCAAAAGTACGAATAAATAGGTGTCTCGTTTCCGTTTATCTGTTCGTTTGTCTGTCTTTTGCCGTCTGTCAAGATTTTTATTAGACAGATAATCTCCAAAACTACTATACTAATTGTTGTTAAATTTTATTTGCATTTTAAAATAACGTACTCCTGTACTTGTAGTTTATGAATCCCTCTCCATTTTATTTATTATTATTATTTTTCTAGTTTAAACCGTCACATAATCCGTAAGCCCGATCAATGGACTTATAGGAAGACAGTTTACTTTGCACATGGACGGGTTCGATTCCCGTGTACCTACCTAATTTTCTCGACAATTTGAGAATACTGAACTGGCAACCGTGTCCTTACCGAAATATTGCTCCAAATATTTTGCAATGGGAAAACTTATTAGAAACAGGGTTAGCCTTGCGCTTTATTTTATACGTGTTTAACTGTCGAACTCTTTCAGTGAATAAACATAAACAGTCGAAGTTAAGCATGTATTGATAATATATGTTTTTCTGTTGGTTATTTGCTTTAAATAGATTTCATATCCGTATCTGTGCATCCTCTTGCACTTCGCGCGCTTCACGGTGCATGGGCTGCGGAGCTGTTATTTATGCCACTGCCTAGCTTGCTTCTTTACCTGAGCTTTATATATCCTTGTTATCAAGGTTATAATAAGAAATAGAGTTCGCTAATAAAATTTTGTAATTTTTCTTCTTATTTGTTCGACTGTACCACTTCAGGAGCGAGGAAAGTAACCTTTGATTTTTTTTTTTTTTAGATTGTTATGATTACATTAAAGTGTCTACAATTATTGAATTAAATGTGGTCGGGACAAAACAGAGACACTACTACTCTACAAAACACACTCTCTAACACTCTCAAGGTATGGCCACTCGCCAGTGCATTTTTTTTCATTTGGCCAATTTAAATAAGGCGCTACTTTTTGACTAGTACGCAATAATTTGTATATGCCTACGACATGTCTGTAACAAATTCCATTTTAATTGGTAACAAGAAATCTTAAGTTATCCATATTAAGCAGAAGAAGGATTTTTGATCTGGTTTTCAGTACCTAATAATTATCGCCCACAACTGTACCGATTTTGGTTTGTTGTCTTTGGAGTATTAAAGTGTGGTTTCTTACTGCTTCAAGTTTCATTTTCGAAAGTTTGTTGCATCACAATGCTAACAGTACGTCAAAAATGTCTTAAAAAGGTTATGGATATTGATATTCTGCTTTTGTTGTCGAAACTAACAAATTCCTCTAAATGCAGACCAATGTACCCTTTGTAACCTTTTAACATATTTATTTAAGTAGCATCCTTTATGCGCTTTTGACATTACTAATCAACAAATGAAAATCATTAAGTGCTGCACTGTTCTTGGTATTGTCACATCTTCCTTATCTTGATATCAACATTATCAGCGAAGCAGTAAACAAAGTTAATAGAGTAATTTTTTATTTTTCAAAGCTCTCCATAGTCTAGATTCCCAATCTTTCGAGTTTCTCTTTAAAACTTGTAACTATTCGTCAAAAGCGTATTCTAACAGAAGCTACAATATGCTGTTGATGCTGCTTGTTAGATGTATTAAATTGAATAAAGGCAGTGACCATCGAGCTGCTAGAATCGTGTTACCATCCACTCGTATTTATTTCTCTCAGGAAAGACTTTAACTTAGTAAATCTCGAACATTGAATCATGGTCACAAAACAACTGTTTGCGTTAAATCAAAATTATTGCCTTCGTAGACATTCTTTAAAGCCTACCGAAGAAAGATTCAGGATTAAGCAGGGTCTATATTTTCTTGTAAATAGAATTTATGACCCTTTGGAATTCACTACCGATGGACTTGAAATCAGCTACTTGCGTCAAGAGTTTTAAAACTAGATTAACCTCTTTACATGTAGTTCATTCAAATATATATATGTACAATGTAGTTTCGGTGTAATTTATAGGACCTGTTTTGACAATGTAATACCTTTTATTTTTAT